CCTGTCAGCTCCAAGAAAGAGCTGAGTGTTAAAATAGGAAAGTGGAAGACACATGAAAAGTGACATCTGTTGTTGTTCAAAAGCTTGTTATAGCAAGTGAGAAGAGAGCAGAAAAGGAAAAAATCTGTTCAACCTAAAAACACAGGCCGCTGCTACAGTGCTTCAGCTTTGTTGAAATTCTTTCAGCTCCTTCAACCTACCACAAATTTAAACTTCAAATCCAGGGCATTTCCATGCCTTGATGGAGACATAGCTAGACAGAGGTTTGCGTTTCAAGGTATGAATGCTAGGTGCAGAGAGACTTACTCCATCCTTCCATCTGTCCTTCCCTCCATCACCCACTCATCCCTCCATTTACCCACCTATCCATCTATCTAGCTATTGATATTTCTGAACATTGTGCCTCTGACAGGATCCAAGAGATATAAAGATAAGCTAGACATGGTCCCTGCACTCAAACAATCCATCATTAAGTGAACAAAGAAAGCAGGGAAGTTTTTTAAAAAAAAAATCAGTAATAGGTATTATGGAAATACCGAGGAAGAGTTTAACTCTTGTGTAAGGGGTAGCACCAGATAGATTTTCTAGAAGGAGAGGGATGGGCTGAGTCTTCAGAAACAAATAAGGGTAATCTGGGTTTATACTTGAGGGCAAGGGAGCAGCATAACTGTGGAGACAGGAGGTGGTATAACATAGACATTTACTGTTAAGGACCAGCCACCATATGTGACATACTGGAAAGGACATACTTTCCTGTGTGCAGATGCAAGGTGGCAAGAAGACATTTACTGGCTTATTTGTAGTCTATGCTTTATTTGGAGAGTCACCAAAGGCCACTGAGGTGTCACAGCAAAGTATAGCATAGCAGGATTTGTGTTCTAGAGTGATCACTGGTAGCAGGCTAGGAGTCTTGTGGGATGATGTTGCAGAAGTATGGCCAAGAAAGCATGGGCCAAGGCCATGCTGAATGGAGAGAAAGAAGCATCGCCTGGACCAGAGGGACTTCTCTGCCTAGCTGCTGTAGCATCCTCCTTCAAGCTTCCCCCTGCTGTGCCTACCTCCACACGGTCAAGTTGGTAAAACTAAGGCAGCAAGCTCTTCAGCACTCACAGCTCCCCTAGAAATATTTTATCCAGTAGCATGGAGACTTGGCCAAATCTCTCCTAGAGACATGCTTTGTCCTTGGAGGCTCCTGCCACTGGGGCGCACATTCTTAGGCCTAGAAGTAGACGGGAGAAACGGGTGTGTCATGATATACAAGGAGATTATCCTTACATTCCAGGAGGGAAGATGGGCTGGCCCAAGGTCTGGGGTTGGCCTTTCCCATGTCCTGACAAAGAGCCAGAATTTTAAACGACAGCCTGACCTTACAGGTCTAACAAAGGTATTTTTGTAAATTAGAAAAGTAGAGTTCGCTAAATCTTTGTCATGCATATGGATGTGTTTGCAGTTTCACACTTATCCTAGGGCCTATGAATGTTAGGGATCACCCTGGGAGCCTGAGCTCTTCAGAGGTTTTATACTGAGGAATGAGCCTGCCATCCATCTCATGGGAAGACTAGTGGGGGAACAGAGATTGGAGCAGAGGAGCATGGGAAGGTACCTTAAAGATACAATCATGGCCACATGAAGTGGTCAAGACGGGCAAGGTATGTGGGGGCAGGGGGAGACCCTCCAGGGCCAAGTGTAACATACGCTATTGTGGATTCCAGATAGAAGATATGGAAATCAGCCTGCCAAACATCCACTACTTTAACATCGACATGTCCAAAATGGGGCTGATCAACAAGGAAGAGGTAAGAGAGTTTTAAGGCACATTTCTGCCCCGTCTCCTTTCAGTTTCCTTGACTTGGAACAATATCACTGCCTAAAACCTGTAGCCGCTGCTGGCTTTGGGGAATATTTATAGTTGTCACTGATTGGAACCCTCTTCAACTCTGGGTCTTTCAATGCCTGAGGCTGAGTGCTCTAGAAGTGGATGAGTGATTACAGAGGAGGGTTGTGAGTCTCAGGAAGGAACAAAAAGAAGGAACAGAGTGTGCCCAAGGAAACAGCTCTAAGATCTCCTTGGGAAAGTGCCGCAGAAAGTCGAAGCTGCATTATTCTTCCATCACGAGGCAGTGAGGAGAAGGCAAGATTGTGTTTTCCTTTTCTGTTACCATGCCCACCTTTTGATTAAATAGTTCAGGAGCACACAATACACTTGGGAGAGGTGAGAGCATGCTTGTGCTACAGATGGCAAGAGCAAGGGGAGCCTTTGTTCCAGGGAACACACAGCTCTGGCCTCTTCTTAGCTGCCACAATCGGATTGTCTGACTCGGAGGCCTGGAGCTTGGTTGGTGGCCTCTGTGGTCACCTCCTGTGAGGTTAGAACTGACCCTGCCCCTTGGACATTTTCAGTGACAGGTCTTTAGTCCCATCTGTAGCATCATTTGGGGTAAATGTGTTTGGTGCGTGTGAGGGGGTAAGGCAGAGGCAGTCTGTGGATGGCTCGCTGATGGAGACCACGTGCTTGGATGCCCAGCAGAAGAGAAGCTCGTGCACTCTGGGGCTTGTGACCCAGGAGCCCTTTCAACTCCCTCCCCCAGGGCCCTGATTTCTCTTTTGCAAACAATGTTGATGGGTTCCATCGACTCTGCACCATCTGCAGATGCTTGCCATGGGTTCTGGGAAACAGCCCTGGCTGGCAGGAGAAGGCAAGTTTGGCCCCAAGTTCACTCAGCTGAAAGGACAGGCAACACTGTTCACCTCGAGGAAGGAATGGTTGGCAATGAGCTGCATTTGTGAACCAGGACAGAAAGCTTTTTGGTATGATTACTCGCTGAAGGGCGGGAGATAGATCTGAAAACAGTCTTGGCCATGTCTGCCAGAGCCAAAACAAATGAGCTCCAAACAGAAAAAGGACCTGCTGAACGCTCAGCTCATAGCACAGTCAAGAGGGTTTTTTTGGGCCCACTGAGCCTTCCCCATATTCATCCCCTCCAGAGTTGGGAGTGGGTTGTCAGTCACAGAGAGGAAGAGAAAAGGAAGCTGCAGAGGATGATTCTTCCTAGATTCCAGCAGGGCATTTCATGCAGAACTCTGTTATGAAAAATAAAATAGAAAAAGGACCTGTGTCTGAGTGACGGCTTCTCACACTGAGGGGGACAGCTTCAGTCACATTTGGACACTTACACATATGTGTACCACATGAAGGCAACATATGAGAAGCAGGAAGCTGAGGCACAGTGACGACAGCTGGGGAGTGACAAGAGACAGGGTGGGAAGGACAGAAGGACTCTAAACACAGCGGTCTGGATGCATTTAGCATTGTACTCACAGCCCCGTGGCCCTCAGATGATCTTCCGGGAATGGCTGTCGACAGTGATGGATGTCCAGACTGAGTTACCAAAAAAGGCCAAATGTATTCACTGCATTTGATCGTACAATGCATTTAGAAATATCTGTGTCATAATGACTAACAAACAAGCAAAATGCTTCTCGGTGGCAGGTGAAACAATGGCTCAGTCAGTAAACCACTCACTGTGTAAGCATGAGGACCGGAGTCTGGTTCCCCAGCAGCCATGGAAACAGCCAAGCCCTGTAACGTGTGTCAGCTGTAGCATGTACCAGTAATTATAGCACTGAGGAAGTGGAGACCATATGGCCCCTGGAGCTCACTGGCCAGCCGGTCTAGTCCAACTGTCGAGATCTAAGTGCAGTGAGAGACTCTGTCTCAAAAACTAAGGTGGAGGACGAGGAGAAGGCTCAGCAGGTGAAGCTACTTGATACACAAGTCTGACTGCTTGAGTCACGACGCTGGGCCACATATAAAGGTGAAAGGATGAAACTGCATAAAAATTTCCTCTGACCTTCACAAGAGTGGTGTGACGCACACAACCCCTTCCGAGTTCCTACACACACACACACACACACACACACACACACACACACACACACACACACACACACACACACACACACA